TGTTACCCACTGGGTTGTAATATTTGTTGTGCAGTTTGCGTGATTTTCAAAGAAGTCGGTGATTTGTTTGTTTATGGTTTTGGTGTTGTCTGGGTTGTCCACTAAAGCTTCATTCATGCGCCATGTGCCCCTTCCACGAGCCGGGTACGGGACGCGAAGCGTAACCGCAAGCGGCGCGTGGTCAGACCATGTTATTGGACCTATAGAGACGTTAACAAGGTGTGTTAGGGTGCTCTTGTCAATGAGGCATAAGTCTATCCTAGAATATGTCATATGGACCGGGGAAAAGTACGTATAGTCCCTGTCTGCGGGGTGGAGGCATCTCCATGAGTCATAGAGGTCATGTAGCGTGATTAATTTGGTCATGTGGCGTCCTAGTGAGATAGACGTGCTTTTGGGGCCTTTGTTCCCCGTTCGTTTTACGTCCGTAGATGGATCAGTCGTGCAATTAAAGTCGCCACATAAGATTACATGGCCCCTTTTATATCTGTCTAGTTTTCTCATTGCTGAGGTGAGAAATGATTTTTGGCCCTCATTAGGTGCATACAGTGAGGCTATGGTAATTTCTATACCGTTTAAGGCTCCCACTAATATAAGTAGCCTGCCGTCTCTATTGGTATGCTGTTTGCTCATCGTGAATGCCCAATCGTCGTGGAAGAGTATAGAGACTCCCCTGGATTTAGTTGGGGAGAAGGCATGAAAGGCCTGTGCATACTGTTTCACTGAAAATTTCGGTGGATTGCGTTTACAGAAATGGGTTTCCTGCAGGCAGGCAATTGCTGCCTTGGATGAACGTAGTTCCTGCGCAGCTAACCTTCGTTTATGGGGGCTGTTAAGGCCTTTAACGTTAAGAGAAAGTAGTTGTAATGTGTTAGCCATCAGGGTTGTGGGTCAGGGGAGTTGGGTGCAGTTAGTGCTAGGCATTCATCTGGGGGGAAGTTAGTTCGCCTTGTTTTAGTGCTGCGCGTATCATGTTGCGCCTCTGAGGGTTGGCTCGGGATACTCTTGGTTCGGGAGTGTTTGCCTGGTTTCAGGTGGCTTAGCCGGGTATTGGGCAGTGGTAGGTACATGAACATATACATAAACATTAACATTAATAAAAACAACAAAACATAAACAAAGTATATACATGATGCCCTTTGGGATGCGGGCATTGTACTTGGTTGGTCTGCGGACCGCTCCTAAACTGGGCCGCGGATCAACCTGGGAGGCGTGAACTGAGGTGTGCTGCCGTGTCAACGGCCCTTTAAACAAATGTGTGAAGTAATGCGTGTTTTTTTTTTTTTTTTTTTTTTTTTTTTTTTTTTTTTTTTTTTTGTGTTTTGTGTCGCCTTGCCAGGGTCTATTATGAACTCCGATGGAGTTGATATCTGAAGTATGCAGTGCTAGTGTGTCAATCATGTCAGTGCATACATACATACATACATATTGGTGTCTCTTCAGTTGAGGGATGTCACATATAGACCTGGTCTTTCTTGTACTCTACACTTAGTCCCGTTATACATTTTGTTGTGGTTGCTGTGGCTTAGGTGAGCCCGCCATGTGCCATTCCGTCGGCAGTCGTTGGTGCGCATGTTGTTTCTGTGGTGGAGGGTCTTTGGTCCCAAATAGTCCCCATTTTCGCAGGAGTTGTAGGCCCTCATCAGGAGTGTCAATATTATGATGCGTGTTGTCCTTCCATAGTAGGAGTTTAGTTGGGTAGCCCCAGCGGTATTGTATGTTATGGTTGCGTAGAGTCTTCGTGACTGTGATGAATTCCCGTCTTCTTTCCATGGTGAGCGCTGAGAGATCTGCGTATACCTGGATGCCTTGGTATGGTGGGGGGAGCTGCTGTAGTTTGCGCGCCGCAGCCATCAGTGTTTCTTTTGATTTGAAAAAGTGGAATCTGACCACCGTGTCTTTTGGTGTGTCACTCGTGAATCGCGGTGGCCGAGGAATGCGATGGGCCCTGTCCATAAGCCATCTGTCTTTCTCTATGGCCGGTGCCAGAGTGGTGCAGAGGCCTGTTATATAGTCAGGGAGTGCGTCGTGGGATATGCTATCGGGGATGCCTCTGAATCTTACATTATTGCGCCTGGAACGGTCTTCTATATCTGCCGTTTTTCTTTTCAGTGTTAGGTGTTCTTCCCTGAGCGCCTGCAGTTGTTCTGCAAGGTCATTTTGTGTGGCGCACAGTTCTTCCGTCCGTACCTCCAGGCGGTCGGTGCGGTCCCCAATGTCGGCCAGTTCCCGCTTAAATTCTGCAGTCATTTGTTTCATGTCCGCATTTAAGGTGGTTCTCAGGTCTTGCAGCATTATAAACAGCCTTTTTTCGCTGGCTGGTGCCTCTGTGTATGAGGAGGGCGTTGTGTCATTATCTGAAAGCTGATCTGGTGTCGGATAGCAGCTCATGCTGTCGTCGCCATCTTGCAGGGGCCTACTTTTTTCTTTTCTGGCGGTTTTCATTTGGTCCGTCATTTTTAATTGTTTGGACGGTGCCATGTCGTTGTATTAAGTGCCGGGTAAGTTTTTTACCGGGAATTGACCTCCGGGTTCGCCTAAGTATTGCGTTCGGGTCCGTTGTGGCCGGGAGCTCCTACTCCATGCGACCGCACGCGCCGGCTGTTGGACACGCCCCCCAGAATCAGTAATTTTAAGTAACCTTGTAAGATTTAAAAAGTAATTTTCTTTGTATGTGTACGCTGTTCATTAATCCCTATTTTGTATAAATGTTGGTCTTTACAGCAGCACCACTACAGCATTCCGTGTTCTAACTGTGCCCCCCAAATCGTCATTTTTTTTCGTGGGGGTAGCCACTGACACAGATAGATATACACAGTAAAAAAAAAAAAAGGGTTTTTTTTCTCTCTCTATTATCTACTACTGCTAGTGACTTATTAAGGACCTGCACCTTTACACCTTTTTACCCAGTTATTTTTTGTCATTATCATTACTGTTACTATGATTATTTTTGCTTAGGTCAATACCTATATAGTGTTCATTTTATCTATAATGAACATTTCAACGTTACAATTGTTTATTATTGTTTAAAATAAAGAAAATATTTGACAAGATAGATATACATAGAATAAGCCTCCATCTCATACAAATAATACAAACAGCCCGAACACTAACACAGTCCCGACAAACACAACACCACTGACAATCCAATACGCAACTCCTCAAGCAGCCTCTCAGATAAAAAACCACGAGCAGCCCCACGCATACACACAGAGCCGGATTGACCCAATGGGATACCGGGAAAATTCCTAGTGGGCTGCAGCACTTGGGGACGGGCAGGCAGCCCTAATACCATTTAAACATAGAAACATAGAATGTGACAGCAGATAAGAACCATTCGGCCCATCTAGTCTGCCCAATAATTTACTCCTCGGAATGTGAGAGTCCGAGGGAAGTAAGGAGGGAGGTGCTGGTGTGGCTGCATTGAGGCTGCGGCGACCAGAGGGAGCACTGTAGGGAGGGAGCTTTCTGTGCCTCTCCTGCACTGCTCTCATGTGTGTCAGTGAGCTTGTCTGTAGTAAGCTTCTGAATGTATACCAGTGAGTTTGTCTGTAGTAAGCAGTAAGCGTGTGTGTATTATTGCATAATTATATTTTTTACATACCAATATCAATAATAAAAGTATATAGTTATATATACACTTCGGTGATAGCCCCACACCTGGTCACACCTCCACTCAGACCTTTACAATGAAAGTGTCCTTTATTTATTTGGAAGGCTTGGAGGTATGATGTTGGGAGGTATGCATTAGGAAAGTATTTGTGCAACGTCCCTTAGTTTAGACCTAAGGGTAATATATTTGGAAGCAATGTGAGAAGGTGTCACTGCATAGAAAGGCAGCTGATAGTATAGCCATCCAGGAGATGTGACACTGTCAAGTGGTGATTATGGTTTGAACTTTTAAACGTGGAGCAGTCACCATGGTAACCAATGACATCTTGAAATGTTCTGACATGTTGAAATATTGTTGCTGATTGCTCCACGTTCAGAACTCTCTCTTAATTATTTTATTTCATTAACCGTTTTTATACTTGGAGTTAATTGTATTATCTGCTGATAGTAAAATACTAAATGAAAATACTATCTATCAAAGTTTGAGACTGAACTGCCAACATCACTTGATTTGATGCACTCAGCAGGTACTATCAAGCATTGCCTTGACACAATTGCAGTAATACAAGCATTTAGTTTCACCAATTTGCACCTCTGATCAGTGACTTATTTACAGATGCTGGGCATGTCTGTCATTAGAGCAAGTCTTTTAACCTATAATTCTACATTACATGTTGCTAAAGCTATTCACAAAGTGTCTCAACCTATGCACTGAATGACAAGTCCATTAAGAATCTGTGTTCCCTATTCGTCAAAATAGTTGATAATTTACAGTAGGCTCTCAGGTGTCAACACATGATGTAACAGATGCTGGGGGGGTGTGGAGTTCAAACTAAGATCATAGACTCCATATGCTCTAACTAACCTGACCATGACTGAGACAGTGCTGGCCTGGTCCCACCTCTGCTTCTCTCTGATTGGCTCTCTGCAAGGTATTTCCAGGAGGCTTGCTACTTGTCTTGAAATAGCTACACTGTAACAACCGGCTGTTCCATAAAGCGACCATGTGGAACAGAAATTCACACTGACCTGTGAACTTCTGAATTGTTACCAGCGTGCTGAGAGCACTGAGTGTCTGTCTGGGACCATTGCTCAGTGGATTAATTATTCATTTTTCATAGTCATACCAACATCACAGGTTGATATTTTTCCCATCAGTGGATTTCTGTAGCATTCTCTGTGTACCTAGGGACAGGTATAGTACTTACCACAGGTTTGGTTACAAAGAGCCTCTGGGACATTTACAAATATCACCTTTGCAAACTCTCAACTGTTGCCCCAACAGGTCCCTGTTGAAATTTTGGCTGTGGCTAATATTGGAGTGGCGTCTTTGGTGCACACTATACACAGCAGATTACAATGCTTATCCTCACATGGCTAAGGAGGTCCGACATGAAGATGCTTCCAAGGTTCTTGAATTCTTATTCTGGAATGGAGCAGAATTCGGTCCGACACATTGGTTCTGACTACAAGACAGGAGAGCATGGACCATCTCCTCAGCACAACAATGAGCAGTGAGCATGGAATGTGGGTCTGGGTCTGTGTTCTGTGTATTGTTGAGGGTCTAACCATCTCATGTAGTTGTGGAGGTTTTAACACGGGAGCAAAACTCTTTCCCATAAAAATAACCGCTGCACCAGAGTTGCTATGAAATTTGAATATCAACTATATTTGCCTTTCTGAGCTTGTTGGGAGTTGTAGTCAAGTAGGATTGCCTTTCAAGGTTTAGCTCTGAATGAGTTCAGTGATATTGGCATATAGATCAAGTTACTATGGCTGAAGGTGATTAAAGGTGTGTTCTCTATCCCCATCATATCTTTTACATTGTAAGCTCATGAGCTGTCTATCTAAGCACTTTGTATAAAAGAGCTTCAATGGCTAGATCTTAGTTCCCGGCCAGGGCCTTCTTTACCTTTTGTGTTGGTCTGTGCATATTGTATGTTCTACCCTAATTGTACAGCTCTGTGGAATATGTTGGCGCTTTATAAATGTCAGTAATAAATGAATAAATATTAAAAATATTAAAAAGGGACACTGTAGTAGGCTTCAAAACCACTACAGATTAGTGATATTTTTTAATTGTATTGTCATGTCCAAATCCCCCGATAGTCCACTTAAAAAATATTCATTATAGTTATAATTTTTTTAAAGTTATACATGTACTACTTCCCCTTATGTATAACTAGCAGGTTGACAAATGGTTGAGCTGTAGTCTAGACTAATTCTAGGGTTTTCATTTTATCTGCCCTCCACTATTTGTACTATTTCTAGGGTTAGACTAGTAATTGAGTGAGGCTAAATTAGTATCTAATCCTAATTTGCTTTCAAACAGTTTTTGTTTGAATTTTAACCGTTTAAAAAACGTTTAGCTGTTAGCCTCACTCAATTATTATTCTAACCATAAGAAATAACAGAAATAATGGAGTGCAGATAAGAGGACATTTAGGGTTAAGGCGATGTTTAAAATTAGGGTTAGGAACTACTTCAGCCTCTCTCAATTATTATTCTAAACCCTAACCCTAGAAATAGTAAAATAGTGGAGGGCAAATAACAGGAGAGGTCCCCATAACCAATATGGTTGTGTTTTGATGGCCCTTTTAGCCCCTTAAGGACATATGACGGAAATATTCAGTCATGATTCCCTTTAATTCCAGAAGTTATGTCCTTAGGAGGTTAATGACACAACTTCTGGAATAAAAGGGAATCATGACATGTCACACATGTCATGTGTCCTTAAGGGGTTAAACAGTTGTGAGTCAAGGACTGGTGTGCCTGTGCATTTACAGTGTAGCTAGAGCAAGTGGTATATGGGCGTTAGAGATTTAGGTTTTACTGAAATCTTAGAAAAAATGCCACAGATTTATAGCCCCATAACAACTTCAATGAACCTTTAAATGTTGCAGATCAGTTTTCCATTAACCAGAACTTGCTGTTCATTGATTAAACCCCTGTGATTTGTTTACATTGTATCTGTATAAGGTGTGCTGCCTCACTAACAGGTGCTTCGAGTTTGTGTATTGTAGGTGTGTGATAATTTGAAACTAATGACCCTCTTTCTGTGACTTCTCGTATAGCAGGTTTTTATGTTTTAAAGGTTTTTAAGTCAGTGTTTATCAAATTGGAAGAGACGACATATTCAAAGAAAGGTGTACTTACTTTAACATACCGTAACCCATTCACTTCCATGCATTTTTTTATTTGAAAAAAGTATTAGCATAATTTGTCATAACTGTGTACTGTAGTGGTTATGATGCTTGGAATAAATGTCTAGTAAAATAGTTCTGTAGCAATCTCTAAAATGATAAGAGGAAATGAGAGACACCCCCTCCTCCCATGACTAGGAATATTATGATCTTTGAGTTTTCCTTTACTGTTTGGAAGGAGGAGAAGAGGCTGTCACTTTTAGGACATTTTCTGACATTAAACTGGTGGAATGGGCTCATGGCTGAAATTCTTTCCTCAAAAACTGCCAATTATTTCTGTAGCATAAATGAAGGCAAGCAAATCTTATAGACTAAATTTTGTTTTGAAAAACAATTGAATAAGCAATGTATAGACAATTTTGGTAGTGAAGGAATGCCCTTTTTTTTTTTTAAATTTTTTTTTTTTTAGATCTGTTCCTTTATTAAACAAAACAAAACCAGACAAAAAAAAACCAAAAAAAACCCCACAAAGCTTTTATAAACGCTATTGAATTTACCCAACACTGATAAACATTCCAGAGGTGGGACAGACACTGTGGCCCAATGCACCCACTATGTGATCATTAATCTTGACAAGAAACTGTTTTACAAAAATTCCATCCCTTCTTCAACCACCATGCAGATAATACACTTCTGCACTGTCAGGTCCAGAGGCTGTCAATCAAATGTGAATGAAATTGATATTTGCTGATGGAGAAGTGTAAATTCTACAATAATAATACACCAAGCAAGGGGTATTCTCTGGGAGTTCTTCAGGGACCCTTGGGTTTTAGTTAAACTATTTTCGAGTCGGGAGAGGGATAGTGCATATAGCCTTCTAGTACCATAATCGCTAATATTTGTTGTAGTAGTCGTAGCGCACAGACTTTTAATTTAAAGGGACACTATAGACACCAAAACAACTTTAGCTTACTGAAGCAGTTTTGGTGTACAGATCGTGCCCCTTCAGTCTCACTGTTCACTTAACAGCATGTAACCTACAGTCTTCCTAAATACGTACTGTAAAGAGAGATCTAATGTTTAAACTACCTTTATTGTAGTGTCTGATTAATTTAGAATGTCTTATCTAATGCTCTGTTAAAGGGACATGTGACGGACCACCTGGCACTCTGACTGGGTGCCTCCACCTATTGCTGCTTCCTACACCATAAGCACTGTAGCCCCCTAGCCGCCGCAGCTTGGCTGGGGTCTCGCCGTCCCTTCTCACCCTGGACTAAACTCCCAGTGAGAAGACCTCTCCTCCAAGAGAGTATAGCAGGTATAGCAGTGTAGCTCTTACAAGAGCTAGTGATTATAACCCAGGGGAGTACTGTGATATAGCAATCCCCAGAGCAGATACAGCTGCCCCCCCCCCCCCACACATGAGATGAGACTCTATGTTGAGGGTAGGCAAGAACTCATTTATTGGCTGCCACAACTGGCAGGTCCCAATGCAAGGGGCACTCCCCCCTGGACCTGACAGTAGACTACAGTGAAAACATACACATGATTACATTGGCTCTCAGGTCCAGGACGCTCCCATACAAAAGAAGATAAGCCCTCCGCTGTGCCTGGGAGATAATAGAGTCAAGCACTGTACTAAATTCAATTATCTCCAGGCACAGAAAACATACTCCAGCGAAGCAAACGGGGTTCTCCCCAGCGACTCTGTTCAGCCAAATGAGAGGGTTGTGGTCTGTCATCAACATGAAGGGACGGCCATAGAGATAGGGCTGCAATTTCTTTAATGCCCATACAAGAGTCAAACATTATTTTTCCACAGTGGCATAGCTGACTTCCCTGGGTAACAGCTTCCGGCTGAGATATGCCACTGGGTGCTCCATTCCGTCATCCCCCACTTGACTTAGCACGGCTCCCAGCCCAAACATGGTGGCATCTGTGTGGACAAGAATTTTTTTTGTATGGTTTGGGGCGTCCAACACAAGTGCCTTGCTCAGCGCTGTCTTGAGCATCTGGAAAGTGGCCTCGCACTCCAGGGACCACACTATATGTCTGGGAAGGGACTTTTTGGTCAGGTCAGTGAGGGGCTTGGCAAGGGCGCTATATTCAGGGACAAACTTGCATTAATAGCCCACGGTCCCTAGGAAAGCTGGTACCTTCATCTTGGTACAGAGTTGGGGCCAGTTAGCAATAGCCTCTACTTTGGCGGGTTCGGGCCGTTGTTTGCCAGAACCTACTTTATACCGACATGGCACTTGTCGGGCTTCAAAGTGAGCCCTGCTGCCCGAATTCTCTCAAGTACCATAGACAGGTGCCCATCCCATGTGTGGCTGTAGATGGCTATATCATCTAAATACGCACACGCAAAGTCCTGGAAAGAGCCCGTTGGCCATCCGCTGAAAGGTAGCTGGGGCATTCTTCATCCAAAAAGGCATAACCTTAAACTGGTATAGCTCAAATAGGGTGACAAATGCTGACTTAATAATGGCCGCCGGTTCTAGGGGGATTTTCCAATAACCCTTGCACAGATATATGGTAGTTAAGTAATTCCCCCCAGCCATGCGATCTAGCAGCTCGTCTATCCTTGGCATGGGTTAGGCATCCATGACTGTCCGCTCATTAAGTTTCTGGTAGTCGATACAGAAGCGAGTCGTACCATCTCGCTTAGCTACCAGCATTACTGGAGAAGCCCAGGGGCTCTGGGATGGCTCTATGACCCCTAACTTTAACATATCCTGAATCTCGTTCAGCATATTCTCTCTGACTGGTTCAGGGATACGGTAAGGTTGATGCCGTAGGGGGGTTTCTACCTGGGTCTCAACTCGGTGTACCACAGCGGAGGTGTACCCGGGCAACGATGAAAACATTTCCCGGTATCCCTGGAGTAGCTGGATGGCCTCTGCCTTTTATAAAGGGTTCAGTGTTTCGCCTAGGCTGACCTGCTCTACACTACCCGGAGATGGGGTAAGCAAGCCAGGTAAGGGAAGGCTCTCACTATCTTCGAAAGAGGGGGCACATACCACAGCCACGTCCTCTGTCCTCTCTAAGTAGTGTTTTAGCATGTTCACATGAAAGGATCTCCGTATCCTCTCATCTGAACATTTCCCTACAATGTAGGTAGTGTCGCTTATGCGCTCCACTACCCTGAAATGGTCCTGGCCAGGCGGCCTGAATTTTGTCTTTCTTAGTAGGGATCGACCGATTATCGGTTTTACCGATATAATCAGCCGATATTCTGTATTTTCGGCAATATCGGTATCGGCCAATAGGGATACCGATATTGCCGATAATACCTCCTAGGACCGCCAGGCTCATTACAAACCCGGTGGTCCCGAGGGGGCAGGCAGCAAGCGTTTACTCACCTCCCAGCAGCTCCTCCAGGTCCCCAGTGTAACTCTCGCAAGAACCGCGGCCGTTAGAGCGTTGCCATTGGGTTACCATGGCAACGCACCGCGCGGCACGCTGGCCGCGAGACTTACACTGGGGAGCTGGAGGAGCTGCTGGGAGGTGAGTAAATGCTTGCTGCCCGCCCCCTCACAGCTCAGCCAATGCCACTGGACCTCCATTATATACACATACACTACACAAACACATTGTGTATATAATGCAGTGTGTGTGTTTGTATAGTGTGTGTAAATAATGCAGTGTGTGTGTTTGCATAGTGTGTGTATATAATGCAGTGTGTTTGTATAGTGTGTGTGTGTATATAATATACAAACACACTGCATTATATACACACACTATACAAACACACACAAACTGCATTATATACACACTACACACACACTACACAGGGCCGGTGCAAGGATTTTTGCTGCCCTAGGCAAAAAAATTTTTGCCACCCCCCCCCATATGTCCTGCCCATCATGTGACATCACAATGCCCCGCCCAAATGCTCTGCCATATGGGCCAACGCCAGTCTTCACAAAGTGTCTTTTATCCGAAAAGACAGTGTGTTTACATTAAAAAGCCTACAGGCTGTAGTGCTTCTGGTGACTATAGTACCCATTTAATGTGAGGTAAATTAGAGATTAGTACCACTAATAATATATTGGATTGCCTACTTACCACCAGATGAGGACAAGAGGCTGATGATGGGCTCAGTCTGGTTCCACAGGTCTAGTGTAGAAAAGGCTCTCTGGAGACTGGTTGTAACACTGCTCACAACAATTAACGAACAGGAAGCAGCTCCATTTTTTAGGGCCCCTTACAGAGCTCAAGGTCTGGGCCCCCAGGACTTGACCGTGAGTATGCCTACAATGCCCACCCATAAATTCAGCTACATGGCCCACCCATGAGTTCTCTCACAGGAAGTGGAGTGTATGAGTGTAGGGGATGTTTTATGTGTTATTGTAGATGATGCAATGTGTGTGTGTTCTTATAGAATGTAGTGTATAGGGATACCAATTTCTGTAAGGGATGTAGTGTGTGTATAGCGAATGCAGTGTGTGTTTGCGTGTAAGGAATGCATTGTATGTTTCTGGGTGTGTGTGTGTAAGGGGTGCAAGGTGTGTTTCTGTGTATTTAATTGAATGCAGTGTGTGTCTGTAAGGGGTGCATTGATTGTGTAAGAGATGCATTTTGTTTCTGTGTGTAAGAGAATGAGTGTTTGTGTGAACGTAAGGGATGCATTGTGTGTTTCGGGTGTGTCTGTGTGTGAGTAGGAATGCATTGTATGTTTCTGTGTGTGTGTTTGTGGGGGGGGATGCATTGTGTATGTGTGTAGTGTAAAAGAGAGGGTTTGTGGGGTAGGATAGGGACTGAGAGGGGAGCAGCTCTTTATTTTTTTAATTTTTTGCATAGTGCTCACCCTCCTGTCAATTATTGATTTCCCCTTCCCTCCTGTCCCTTAGTGCTCTCCCTTGGCCCCCTGTTGTCCCCCCCCCCCTTGGTGGTCTTCTCACTCCCCCTTAGTTGTCCTCCATCCCTCCCCTCAGTAGACCTCCCTCTCCCAAACCCCTTAGTAGACATTCCCCTCCTCCCCCACCCCCTTAGTGGTAATCTCCTCCCCTCAGTGGTCATTATCCTCTTTCTCCCCCCCCTTAGTGGTCCTTACCCTCCTCCCTCTCCTTAGTGGTCCTCCCTACTTACCCCCCTTTGGTGGTCCTCCCTCTCCCAAACCCCTTAGTGGACCTCCCCCCTCAGTGGCCCTTACTCCCCCCCCCCTCCCCCTGTGTTCCTTCACCCCCCTTCCCCAGTGGCCCTAACTCCCCCCCTTCCTCCCCCAGTGGTTCTTACTCCCCATCCCTCTCCTCCCCCAGTGGTCCTTACTCCCCCTCCCCCAGTGGTCCTTACTCCCCCCTCCTCCCCCAGTGGTCCTTACTCTGCGCTTCCCTCCTGCCAGTCACTCAAATCTGGCCGCCCTCCATACAGCAGTGCTGCGCCACCTGAGGCTTGTAAAAGCGTTCAGGTGGCACAGCATGAGGGAGCCGCACCGGTGATTCTGGGCGCAGGGATCCGGCGCCCCCTGCTAAGTTGCGCCCTAGGCGGCTGCCTAGGTCGCCTTACAGGTAGCGCCGGCCCTGGTTCCATCTTGAGAAATATCTGGGTGTTGACAGTTGTTAGCCTTTATTTCTTTTTCCGGTCATCTTCAGTCTGGAAACATAATAGCAATGTTCAGAATTAGCATAGCACTTCTTTTCAGCATATGAAGGCTGTTTGTGGTAGTCATTCAATGATAAACTATAACCTTCATAGGTGCATCCAAAGTCTTTCACAAGCATCTGTTCTGTCTTTTTCTGATTCCAGCATGCTTTGTCATCATCGTTGAGTCCATTATTAGGATTTGAAATAGTCCAATCACATCTTTCTCATGTATAATCATTTTTTAGAATGATCTTCAATAGGTTCCTTGTGGAATACCAGGAATACCATGTCATATGTCAGGTATCAATCCATATCCATAATCCATATCACCAGGAATGATTGCTAATTCCACATTAGCAATCATTTCACTGTGAGCTGTGTCTCTTCCTTTGAAATGGTTCTTGAAGGTTGTCCTCACGGTCATAGAAACTCAGTCCAATTCAGTTCAGGTGCGTCTTGCTTGTTAACATAATCACAATGCAGTTTTAAAACGACAGCTTGGGTTGATGTTATGATAATGCTGCAGATTGTAACCAAATTTTTACCATCCTTTTGCTTCCATCTTTGCATTTCCTTCTTACTGTATAAGATAACTCAGGTACAGTCTGTTTTCTCCAGAGTCTTTCTGATAATAATGTTCATGATTAATTTTTCATATATTCCATGTTAACTGTAACTGTATCACGTCTGTCTGTTCATTCTTCTCCTTCACATTTGCAGGTTCAGATTATTAATATTATTATTATTATTATGTTATTATTTATATAGCGCCAACAAATTCCACAGCGCTTTGCAGTGGGTGGACGAACAAACATGTAGTTGTAACCAGGCAAGTCGGACACACAGGAACAGAGGGATTGAGGGCCCTGATCAATGAGCTTACATACTAGAGGGGGTAGGGTAAAGTGACACAAAAGGTAAGGATAGTATTAGACTAGTAAAAGTTGCAGAAGAGGAATCAGTCAGGAGCTATTAACAGTTTAATTGGTAGGCTTTTATGAAGAAGTATTTTGTAAAAAATTTTTTGAAGGAGTGAAGACTGGGTGAGCATCTTACGGAGGAGGGAAGTGAGTTCCACAGGAACAGTGCAGTCATCAAGAAGTCTTGAAGGCGAGCATCAGAGGTGGGAGTACAGACAGCAGATAGACGAAAGTCTTCAGCAGAGCGTAAGGGCCTAGACGGGACATACTTATTAGAAAGGATAGATAGGTGGGAGCAGCATTATGTAGAGATTTGAAAGCAAGAACCAGAATTTTAAATCGAGTCCTATATCTTACAGGAAGCTAATGAAGGGACTGACAGAAGGGTGAGGCTAGGATAGGAAGATGAGCCTCGCTACCGCATTCATTATGGACTGTAACGGCGCAAGTTGGGAGCACTTAAGACCACTGAGAAGCAGATTACAGTAGTCAAGGCGAGAAAGGACAGTGGAATGGACCAGCACCTTAGTCGCATCTGGTGTTAAGTAGGGTTGGATGCACGCAATGTTTGAGATGGAAGCGACAGGATTAAGCGATAAACTAAACATGAGGCGTGAAGGAGAGGGTGGAGTTAAAGCCTGCATGGTGGAGTTGATGGTAGCACCGTTTACTTGGAGGGAGACAGACACAGGAGTAGCAACACTTGAGGGAGGAAAGACTAGAATTTTAGTTTTGGTCAAGTTAAGTTTAAGGAAGTGGGCAGCCATCCAGTTAGAAATAGCAGAGAGGCAGTCAGAGACATATGAATGATATTGGAAGCCAAAGGAGCTAATTAATTTACCAAGGGAGGCAGTATAGATAGAGAATAGTAGGGGACCAAGGACTGAACCTTGGGGGACACCAATGGAGAGGAGTTGGGGAGAAGAAGCAGAGCCAGAGAAAGAAACACTGAAAGAGCGCTGGGAGAGGTAGAAGGAGCACCAGGAGAGAGCAATATCTTGTAGACCAATATTGCGGAGGATGTGAAGAAGCTGTTGATGATCAACAATGTCAAAAGCCTCAGACAGGTCAAGGAGAATTAGGATAGAGTAGTGAACAGCAAATACAGAGTGCGCAAAGTAGAACAATGAAAGATAATATACACAGAAAAAAGGAAGTACAAAAAGTCTCTGAAAATACAATGTGGACCTTGAATAGGTATTATTTGGTTCTTGCCTTGGGTCCTCAGTAGTTAATATGAAATACAAAAGCAGAAACAGGAAGGGACCAATAGTGCAAAACCATTAGGAAATGGTGTCACGGACAATTTGGAAATGGAGAAGTACCAACTATGCTATGCCCAGCTCTAGATAAAACAGCATACAGTGGTATTTGAAACTCCCCACTAGTGATGTCGCGAACACAAAATTTTCGGTTCGCGAATGGCGAACGCGAACTTCCGCAAATGTTCGCGAACCGGCGAACCGGGCGAACCTCCATAGACTTCAATGGGCAGGCGAATTTTAAAACACACAGGGACTCTTGCTGGCCACAATAGTGATGTAAAAAGTTGTTTCAAGGGGACTAACACCTGGACTGTGGCATGCCGGAGGGGGATCCATGGCAAAACTCCCATGGAAAATTACACAGTTGATGCAGAGTCTGGTCTTAATCCATAAAGGGCAGAAATCACCTAACATTCCTAAATCACAATGGATATGGATTGATACCTGACATAAGACTTCTCCAGGGCTGCACCTATTCTGTGGAACTCCCTTCCCTCCTCAATCAGACTTTCACCCAGCCTCCATTCCTTCAACAAATCTTTGAAAACTCACTTCTTCATTAAAGCGTATCAATTAAACTGTCAGCAGGTTTCTCATCCCCCACCCCATGACTCCATTCCTTCACCTGTCAAAAATGACCTACCAAGCACTCAATAAACCCTTCTGTAACAAACTATTTAATTCCCCTACTTTAACCCTTTGTGTCACTATACCCCACTCCCTCTAGCATGTAAGCTCATCGAGCAGGGTCCTCAACCCCCTCTGTTCCTGTATGTCAGTGGTCTGATCTCAATTATGTGTCTGTTAGTCCACCCATTGTACAGCGCTATGGAATTTGTTGGCGCTATATAAATAATAAAATAATAATAATAATATGACATATTGACACAGAGCAGAATAAGGACTGTTCCCCCTACATAGGGTCACTTGGCAGGTATGGATTGACACCTGTCCTCAGAGACCATGATACACACTGACACAGAGCAGAATAGAGACTGTTCTCCTACATAGGTTCACTTGGCAGATATGGATTGACACCTGTCCTCAGGATCCCTGATACACACTGACACAAAGCAGAATAGAGACTGTTCCTCCTACATAGGGTCACTTGGCAGATATGGATTGACACCTGTCCTCAGAGACCATGATACACACTGACACAGAGCAGAATAGAGACTGTTCTCCTACATAGGGTCACTTGGCAGATATGGATTGACACCTGTCCTCAGAGACCATGATACACACTGACACTGAGCAGAATAGAGACTGTTCCCCCTACATAGGGTCACTTGGCAGATATGGATTGATACCTGTCCTAAGGATCCCTGATACACACTGACACAGAGCAGAATAGGGACTGTTCCCCCTACATAGGGTCACTTGGCAGATATGGATTGACACCTATCCTCAGGATCCCTGATACACACCGACACAGAGCAGAATAGGGACTGTTCCCCCTACATAGGGTCACTTGGCAGATATGGATTGACACCTATCCTAATGATCCCTGATACACACTGACACAGAGCAGAATAGGGAATATTCACTAAATGCCAAACATTGTTATACAGGGGAATATTCAGTAAATAAGGATAAGGGGGACCTACTGTCCTCCCCCCCGGCCCCCACCCCTGCATGGTGGGTGGGGGCCATAAATCTCAATGGGGGGGGAAACCTACTGTCCTCCCGCCCGCCCCCACCCGTGAGCGGTGGGTGGGGGCCATAAAAATAATGAGGGGGGGGACCTACTGTATGATGTTGTATCGATCAGGTAGTGTAAGGGTTACGCCCGCTTCACAGTGACAGACCAAACTCCCCGTTTAACGCACCGCAAACAACCGCAACAGTCCATTTGCACAACCGTAAACTCCCCATTTGCACAAGGTTGGATACCAAGCTAGCCATGTCCCGTTCCTTGTCCTCACTGATGTCATTGAAGGTCTCTTTCTCCACCCAGCCACGTACAACACTAAGGGTCCCCGAAAGGTGACAACAAGCCCCCTGGAATGCCTGATGTGTTTGGTCTTACACCTCCTCAAAGCCACCTTCCTACTCTGACTCCTCTTGTTCAGACTCCTCTCTCTGCGTTATTATAAGGTGTGTTAAGTAGTATTATTCCTATCAGTTTAATCCCTGTTACGTCCCCTATCAGGGGACGTGTATATGGCATCGATTTTAGGAACCAGGAGATGGAAAAAGATGCTTGGTTGGTCCTCCTACTTCAAATTTGGGGCACTGCGCGTGCAATCTAATGTGCCACCAGATAGGAGTGGTGTGTTAAGTAGTACTATTCTTATCAGTTTAATCCCCGTTACGTCCCCTATCCGTTGATGTGGAGCAAGACGCAGCAGCAGAAGAGGACTCAGCCGAGGAGGTTATGGAAGAGGATGGAGTAGGAGGAGTAGAGGAGGTGGCAGCAGGCCTGCCTGCAAGTCGTGTCGGTGTCACCAACTCCTCTGCAGAGCCACGCATTCCATGCTTGGCAGCCGTCAGCAGGTTTACCCAATGCGCAGTGTAGGGGTGGCCTGCCTCTGCCTGTCATTTTTTTTTCGATTAGTGGTACTATGTGTGCAAGCTACTGTGACACCAGATATTAGTGGCACTGTGAACTGGCAGAGGTTGGCAGAGTACACGCTGTAGGGCTGACACACCCGCTTGAAGACAACTAACTGCTATTCAATCTATAACAGTGAAACAAGTTTTTCGTTTTTAAATGCAAGCTATTGTGACACCAGATAAGAGTGGCACTTTGAACTGGCAAAGGTTGGCAGAGTACACGTTGTAGGCCTGACACACCCGCTTTTAAGACAACTAACTGCTATTCAATCTATAACAGTGAAAAAAGTTTTTTGGTTTTTAAATGCACGCTATTGTGACACCAGTGAGTGAGTGGTGGCACTGGGCAAATGGGCACAGTATACGCTGCGAGCCTGACACACAGAAGCTTGCAGACAACTAACTGCTATTCAATCTATAACAGTGAAAAAAGTTTTTGGGTTTTTAAATGCACGCTATTGTGACACCAGTGAGTGAGTGGTGGCACTGGGCAAGTGGGCACAGTATACGCTGCGAGCCTGACACACAGACGCTTGCAGACAACTAACTGCTATTCAATCTATATCAGTGAAAAAAGTTTTTTGGTTTT